GCCACCTTAGGTGTATGTGGCTGGCGCCTTAGCCGCTTGAGCCACAGGCGCCGAGCCAGAGAGGGTTTTAAACAGGAATGAACTAACCAACTTACTTTCATTTTTTGCTGAAGTCATATTTGTATTAAATTTATATTTTTTAAATCTTTCTGTTGAATGGACTATTTCTATGTGAGCTATTAATTACATTGGGCATTTTGCCTCTACCACATATAAAATATTTGTTCACACAGAAACATGTATCTAAGTTGTAATTCCTGTAACAAAAATAAAAACCTTCAAAGCTTGGCGCCCATAGCACAGTGATTTCGGCACCAGCCACATACACTGAAGGTAGCGGGTTTGAACCCAGCCCGGGCCAGCTAACCAGCAAAGACAACTGCAACAAGAAGCAGCTGGGCATTGTGGCAGGCACCTGTAGTCCCAGCTATGTGGGAGGCTGAGGCAAGAGAATTGCCTGAGCCTAAGAGTTTGAGGTTGTTGTGAGCTATGATGTCACAGCACTCTACTAAGGGCAACACAGTGAGACTCTGTCTCAAAATTAATAAATAAATGAATAAATACCTTCAAAGGTCTCAATAAAAATGGTATCAATCAATAAAAAGCGGAAAGAGAAATAGCTGAAGACACCACCCTTCAGAGATGTTAGATTAATTCCACGATCATGCCAACTTTACAATTCTAGTAACAAAACACATGGTGGAATAACTCAGCGTCCATAATCTAAAAAAGGGGATAACCCAAGAAACTTTAATCAGATGGCTGTAGTCTAAAAACTCATTTTGGCCGAATATGGTGGCTCATGTCTGTAATCCTAGCACTCTTGGAGGCCAAGGCAAGAGGAATGCTTGAGGTCAGGAGTTCAAGACCAACCTGAGCAGGAGCAAGACCTCCCCAACTGTAAGTAGAAAAATTAGCTGGGTGATGTGGTTGACATCTATAGTCCCACTTACTCAGAAGTCTGAGACAGAAGGATTGTTTGAACCCAGGAGCTTGAAGTTGCTGTGAGCTACGCTGATATACTCTAGCAGGGGGCAAAAGAGTAAGATTATCTCAAAAACAATCCCCCGCCCCCGGAAAAAACCCAACTCCTTCTGTATTTGAATACATATTCCAAATAACAAACTAAATGGTTTTTTTTGGGGGGGGGG